ATAAGATCGTCATTTTCATCAAAAACTAGTCCTTCAACTTTTTTGTCTTCTTTGCTCCATCTCCAGTATTTTATCTCGTCAAACACAATATCTCTTGAAATTATTATCTTCTTAGTAAGAAGATTATAGAGTCTATAAGTTTTGCTTCTTTCATCATAGCCGATGAAAATACACTTCTCTTCTCTATTATCGAGCTTTTTTCTTGTCTTCTCAGAAACATGTGCATATGCGATGCACCCAAAAATTTTGAGGTGTCAAACTCCTGATTTATTACTGTTCTATGCTTCATTTAGAGTCATGTACAACACACTTTTAGTTGGACATCGATTCAACAGGTAGATTGCACATCGAACAGCTTCGACCTAGAAATTTATCGGTAGATGCTTACATTTTATCATGCTCCTTGTCATGTCAAGTATTGCGCTTATATGTGGATGACATGATTTTCACCGGAAACAATCTAGGTATGTTTAAAGCTTTCAAGAAAACTATGATTAAAGAATTTGAAATGACAGATATTGGTGAAATGTCATACTTTCTTGGAGTCGAAGTGAAACAAATGCAAGATGGAAAATTTATTTCATAAAAGTACGTCGAGAAAATTTTGAGCAAATTCAGAATTGAAGATTGCAAGTCGATAGCCACTCCAGCAAAACCAGACATGAAATTAAGTGTTGAATCAATAAGAGAACTGATGAATCAAACCTTGTTTAAAAGTCTCGATGAAAGTCTAAGATATCTGACTATCACAAGATCAGATATTACATATGATGTGGGATTCGTAAGTAGATTCATTAAGAAGTCGAAACAAGATCATTGGATTGCAGCCAAAAGAATTTTAAGATATGTCAAATGCATGATGGATCATGGTCTACACACATTCAGAAAATTCGAAGTTGGTTGGTTATTCTGATAGTGATTATGGGGGAGACTTAGATGATCGAAAGAGTACTTAAGGATAGCTATTTCACATTGTCTCTGCAATATTTCATGGTCTTCAAAGAAGCAACAAACTGTAGCACTCTCAACATGTGAAGTCGAATACATAGCCGCAAAACATGCACTTGTCAAGCAATATGGTTGAAGAATATTTTAAACAAACTAAACTTGGCACAAGAAGAACCAACTACAATTTATGTCGACAACAAGTCTACAATTTCTCTTGCAAAAAATCTCATCTCTCATAGCCGAAGCAAGCACATTGATATAAAGTATCATTTTATACGAGAGCATGTGAAGAACAAAAATGTGGAATTAATCTACTGTCGAACCGAAGATGAATTAGTAGATATTATCATATTTATATGTCGGCAAAATTATATGGAAGTAGCAAACAAGTATCAAAGATTGACAACAAAAGCTTGTAGGTGGCATTTACAAAGCAATTGGAGAATTACGTAATTTGGCAACAAAGGGTGAAATGCTTACCTATTAAGAAATGAAGAATTGAGGTGGCAAAATTATAGAGTAAAGATGGCAGCAAATTAATAAATATACAGTAGAACTCCACTACGGCAAGTAGTGGTTGGCGGTAAATTGAGGTGGTTTAGCATACTATAAATATATGTGATTGTATTTCATGAAATGAGCATGTATGAGTGAAGGGAGCGTGTAGTAGAAAATCGAGAGATTGAGAGAGCTTAGCAAAGCTTTGGTTAAGTGTGGTGTTTGTAAACTAGCCGTAGCTAGTGTCATATTTGTTGTTCGTGATTGTACCATATTTTTGTTCGTATTATTATTATTGTACGAGTTATAAATTTATCGAGTGCCCATCAACATTTCCAACACTGTAGATGCTCATGTTTCCAGATATAACTCTTATGGTTCCTATTCGCCTGCATGGGCTGGCATGAGAAGCAATGGTTGTGAACATTTATATCAGAAGGCTCGTGAAATGGTTGCCAATAAAGGAGCCACGGTTAGGCGTGATCAAAGTGAGGAAGGTGCATCTTCTGGTTCTAAGGCTTCAGCTGCTGCTGATGCATATAATTGTTCTCTGGAATGGAACACGGGATATGGCAGACAAGAAAACGGACATGAAGGACAATACTTGGAAGAAAATGAACTACTGAATATTCAGTTAGAAGAAAATGTTTTAAGCCAGGGGAATCTTGGAACAAACGATGGCAAAAGTGACAGACTGATGAATGTCAAGTCCGTTCGAGCTTCATCAGACTTGGCTAGGAGCAATGGAAGCTCCATGAGTAAAGTGCATGCTCCAGCTCGGCGTCTTTCTAGGCTGTATCTTCATGCTTGTAAGGAAGGATCCCAACTAAGGCGAGCGAGTGCAGCTAGAAGTGCTCTTTCTGGACTTGCTTTGGTTGCAAAAGCATGTGGAAATGATGTTCCAAGGTACGTTCATGAACATTCTGTTCCAGTCCTCAATTCTCCAGTAGCTGAAGCTGGATTTTCCCAAAAGTCTTGGCTGTAATTCAGGGATTGTGAAATTGTTTTTTTAGTCCCTTTAAATTTTTAACGAGTACAATGGTAAATTATATTTTGGCTCCCTCAGAAATGATAGTTTTATGATTTAGTCTCTTCAAAAAAGTGTAGATTTTAAATTAATATATTATTAATTTTTCATTTTTGCCTCTTAAAAAATTTTAATTGAACTTTTTTTTCCTAGTTTCGTCCCTGCTGTAATTTAACCTCATACAGCACATGCATGATTTCTCAGTAGCTCAAAGATCATATGTGTGCTGACTACAGGTTGACGTTCTGGTTGTCAAACTGTGTTGTGTTGCGAGCAATTATAAGCTTAAACATTGGAGAGTTAAAGTCACCACTTTCTGCTGGACCTATGGAAAGAAATGGAGGTGGAAAGGGGAAGAAACCACCATCATCTCCGCTGAAATGAAAGAGAAAGGAAAATAAAACATCTAGTGATTGGGACAGCCTACTTGTCATTTTTTCGGCCCTCACATGGATCTTTTCGAGAATCATCGAGTCTGTCTGATGGCAGGTAACACGTACTCTTTTTCTTCCCCTATATTTGTAACGATTTTCTATCACATGATCTCACACTCGAATAATTGTCGGACCGAATTATGATCCTTATTACTATCTCAGACTCTCACTCCACATATGCAGTCCTTGGCTAGAAAGGAATTGATAAAGGTACTGGCTCTGGCTCAAGTACAAGTTACAGGAGGATACGTAGTTAAAATAATCAAGACCGAAGGAACTTTTCATTAGACCATTGGAAGAAGCTTTCAAGGATGCTTGTTTCGAGCTGCAGGGCACGACTGTGGCTGCTTGTGTCTGCTGTCTAAATTGGTATGTATATTTTGCTTTCAGAAATCGACTAAAAGGCACACAAAAACACTGAATTTTGCAGTGGGTTGACTATGGCTTTCTTGTCAGTGTATTAACATTTAAACGAGCATAAGAGACTTATAAAAGCATTGGAGGTAAAAACTATTTAAGAAAATCTAAAAGATCTAACCTGATTGTTGCTTTGTTTTTAATCCTAGACACTGTTATGGAATTTTACCATATTGATAATGTTAGTTTCTTTGTCATCATAATGGGAACTGCCACCGGTCTTGTTTCCCTATTGTGACGATTTCCCCCCTTATAATTTATGTTATAATTCATCCTTATTATGCATCTAGATAATGGAGCAATGCGTGCCTAGATTAGATGTGGCAATGTTCAATGCAATTCTCCGTGATTCTGCTGATGAAATCCCAACCGATCCTGTGTCTGACCCCATTAGTGATCCTCTGGTGCTTCCCATTCCAGCTGAGAAAACAAGTTTCTGTGCTGTTAAGCAATGCAAATGTGGTAGTCTTGGGATTAATCGTTGAGTTTAATCATGGTGTATTACGTTTATCATAATCCACTGTAACCATTATACGGTTGTAGTTACAACTGTTTGCAATATTCTGATATTACTTCCATGGTAGTTAATACGGTGAGAGTAACTTGTTTCTTCTCCTTTGAAGTAAAGCAATTTCATTTTTGTGGATGTCAGATCAGACACTGGTCTAGATGGTTGACTGATCTCTTTAGTATTGACGTCAATGACTTGGTTGGAGATGCGAATGACCAGGATGACAGTGACGAGCGACAAACCTCTTCGTCAAAGTCTTTCCCTCTCCTTAATGCCTTGAGTGATCTCATGATGCTTCCCAAGGATATGCTTCTAAGTAAACCCATCAGGGAACAGGTTCAACACCCTAACTTTAGACCTTTTGTTGGCTTCGTGGCTAATGAACATTGCTTTGATGTTTATTTACAATGCTTGAACTTTATTTTCAAAGGTATGTCCAACGTTTGCTGCAACATTGATTGAGAGAGTGCTCGACACTTTTGTCCCCGATGAGTTTTGCCCCAATCCAGTTGCAGATGATGTGCTTGAAGCTCTGGAAGTCGAGGTTAGTCTTATAAATCTTGAAGTACTCGTAGGGTTGACTCTTCCATATGCATGACTTGAACCTAAAATATTAAAAGACCCTTTACTTTGACTCAGAATCCTCTCGGATCCAAGGAAGGGTCTAATACAAATTTTCCATGTGTAGCATCTCCTCCAGTTAATTCGTCACTTTCTGCACCGCCAGTTGCTAACATCATTGGAGAAGTCGGAAGCAAATTTCACTTGAGAAGTGTGTTGTTGGTCCTAAGGAAATCATACACAAGTGATGATAAGCTCGATGAATTGAACTCGCGCTTATCCTCAATCTTCAATGTCTTCCAATCATCATCTGTTCAATCAAAGCCAAACCGGGTACAAATGGAAATGACTATCAAAATGCTATCAGATATAAACTCCTAAGTGATGCGTGGATAAACTCAGAATAAAGTGCGATTTATAAATGTTAATGAGTATATAAATGGACACTACCTTCATTTCCCCCCCCCCCTTCTTGAGCAGTAAATATGCAAGTAAATTTCTGCTTGTTATTCCATATAGGCATTTCTGAATAGAGCAAAGATTTACCATACTTGTAGTAGCTTTATGCCTTTTGATTTGAAAAACAAAATAATGTAAACGTAAATGAAGAAGACAAAGCAATCCTTATATTAGAAGCGATTATATGGGACAATGATCATCTCTGCCCTTGGCCAAAACTACATTACATACTTTCAAACTGCATAGTAACTCACAAAAGGGAAACATAACTTCAGAGGCAAATCCAACAAAGGTTGTTTGCCACACTAAAAAACTTGCCTATCACTCAATAGTTACATATTTACTATGATGCCGGAATACCAAAAGTAAACACTAGTTTTCAAGAATAAGGACGTTCACGACGTCAGCTTATGTGAAGAAGTGAGAGCATTAATATGTTGGAGATGTAATGCAGCCAAAAGACCTTGCCATGCATCCGCCGGTGTTCCGGATACCTGAAAGTTGAGAAGCTTCTTTTGCCTACTGTAATAATCCTCCACCGACTTGGCCTATGTACATCAAAATGATTTGTTGGCTAGTAAAAGTTTATGACATTCGATCCCGATTTCAAGAATCTAATAGTTTATCACATTCACACATGCATTTCACTAATCAAAGAGTGATAAAAAAAAGGGGCTAACAAATAACATGCTGCAGACCAATGGGTGTAATCCAACAGTGAATATTATTACCTGCTCTGAATATGCACGGACATTTTTCTTCCAGGAAGTTCCTACATCTTTGGAATGGCCTATGTGAAGAACTTCACTTTCTGAACTTTTCAACAGATATTCTTCAGTGCATTTAAATTTCACAACCAGATCAATATCAGTAACTTGATCAAGAATCTCCTGCAACACAAATAAAACTAGTGAACAAGCATTTCGATTAAACATTAAACAAAAAAAAGAGGTTCATTCAGATTCAAAAACTTAGCACCAAAAGGAGATTGATTAGCCTAAAATTGAATAGGGGTATATATAAACATGGAGAAACTATAGCTGCAAATACCATCAGAATAATAGATGACTTACAGCTTGGATCCTGTTACGAGGAATCCCATCAAGAATGAAACCATTTTCACCTCCATAGTAACCTTCTTCAAGTCTTTTAGATAACAAAGCAAAAATTACATCCTCTGGAACAAGCTTCCCTTCATTCACAGCATTTGCAATCTAAACCCAAATGGCACCAACCCATTAGCGTTCTTCACTATATTATTAATTAGACAATCAATTAAAATTTTATTTTGCAATCTTTTACGCCTAAAAAACAAATCTTCTCCAATATTACAGGAACCTTTAAAGCAAAAAAAAAAACGATCCAAAACTCAAAGAAAATACCCAGCTTTAAAGAAGATCGAAATTTATTCACAAAGGAAAAAAATATAGACCTGTTTGTAAAGAGAAGAGCGGGGATTAAGCTCTTGTCTAACGAGAGTACCCATTGAAATATGTGGAACTTCTAGAAGCTTCGACAGCCTCTCAGCAAAAGCATGTCGTTTGACCCCAGGCTCCCCAATAAGCACCCACTGTACTCCCCTCTCTGTCGCCGACCCATCCACGTCAATCTTCGGCTGAGCTGAACGCCGGTCCCAGTGAGCTTGATCGTACTCGTAGTATTCATCGTCGTAGGGGATCTCCAAGGCGGCGGCAGATCCAAAGAACCGGATCCGATGTCGGAGTGGATTAACGAAGGAAGAAACAACGGCGGCGGCAACTCGGAGCTTGGGGACGCAAGTCATTGGTGGCTTTAGGGTTTTAGGGAAAATGATTTTTTATTTTTTTTCAAAGAAAGGGAAAACTTTGGAAAGGGTTAACGAAAGAGCGGAGGATCTTTCCTTTTTCTCGAGATGGTGAAGAAACAAATGCCACTGTTGGATGAGAAAATTACAATCGTGGAACTGACAGATGTCGACGTTTTATTTGTTGATTGGGTGATTGGAAAAAATCATGTGGTTATGTTTTGCGAGCGTGAAAATGATGTGTTGTCACCGCGTGGTTTGTTATTTGGAACGGAAAAGTTGCCGGAGCTTTGGAAATGGTTAAAGGTTTAGAAGGTGACACGTGGATTTCATTGCAGGACAGCAGCTTTCTAGAAGCATAAAACTGGAATCAATAGAGCGTAATTAAATTATTATATAGTATAATTTAGTGAACATTGATCTGAGTAAACTCACTACTCAATAAAAAATTATATTATATAAGATTTTATTCAAAACTTAATTAAATGAACAAAATAAATAACTTATCCTTTTTATATAAATAAGTAGATTAACATAATATAACTTCTAGTATCGGCGTTCCTTTTGGGTTATAATTTAATAAATTATTATTTTGTCTGTTGTTTTTAATATATTAATCAACACCATTAATACGTGTTAAGTTTACTTATAAATTAAAAAAAATATTTATAAATGATACTGAATGAAATGTTAACTTTATATCAGATGATGGATAAAAAATAAATATATGAGAGCTATCTATTTTTAATTTTAAATCTATAATTACAGTTAATTTTATTAAATAAATAAAAATATAATAATATTCGTAATCTTGAAATAGAATAGTCAGCAATATTTAAAATAGATTAATATATAATATAACAACTAATTATATCACAACATAAATACCGTATATTTAAGTGATTGTATGTACTTATCAATTTGAGAGATCAGTACGGAGTCTTAAGTATGAATGTTCATATTTCAGTATCCGCATTTTTGGGTACTTGAAATTTTCGAGAACTAAAAATTCGACCCATGATCCGATCCGTAAAAGTCGGATACCCTTATATCGGGTACTCGCTAATTTGAGTAATAGGGTGCCCGTTAGTCCTGACTCATGATTTGTCCTCTGTTTTCTTCTTCATTTGATCTCTCTCTCACAACAAAACCAAAAACATAAAACTTAGAAAACTCCTTATATGAATTTTTAATGATCATTCAGTTTGGGAACAACGATATAGAAGTCAAATAGTAATCTGGATCTATTCTTTTATGTTGAAAAAGACAACAAACTATAATTAGAAGTCGGGGAAATAAGCGAAAGAAATGGGTCAGACATTTCGTCGAACGACTGGTAGGTTTTGATAATTAGACCAATCGACAAACACAACCCATGAAACAAGGAGGGATTTGGGTTCCAACGATGAACAGAAAATTTCCAAAGCATCCCAGCATGAAGATCTTAATCATGGTAATTTATTTCCTATTCGAATAGAATCAAACGATACCTTAGAAATGAATTTTGGACAGAGATTTCTACATGAAGGAAATTGAAAACTAATAAACTATATAAGGAAAAGAAGCACTGAATAATTTTGTACACATTTGAAGAATAATTACCCAGAAATTTAATTCATGAATTGACTATACCCGTTTAAATGAAATTTCATGACATGAGCCCGACCCAAAACCCGGATAAAATAGTGTAGACAATCATTCTCTTCCGAGTCTTTGTTCCGAGTTTTAATATATATATATATATATATTGAAAATATAATTTTCGAAAATATAATTTTTTGAAAATATATATGGTATAATATATAGTATATTAATTATTATATATTTTTGAAAACATGTTTAATATATATAATTTTTGAAATCATACAGGTTTTGAAAATATAATATATATTATATATTATATAATTTTTAAGATATATAGTTTTAATATATATATAGTATATTATTATTATCATCATCTTCTTTTCTTTTTCTTTTATTTAATTTTTATCATTATTTATTTTCCAAATCAAAATTATGTCCAAAGTCCAAAAGTTAGTGACCCAGCTCCAGTCAAGGTTCAAAACACAGACCCACTTACCTGACCCAGTAGAGGAGCTTGTTAAGGTTTCACACTCAAGTCAAGTGTCGCACAACGGGAACTGCACGATTTAAAGGAAAAAAAATAAACTATCAATATCAAAGGTGGCTAGGGTTTTTAAACCCTAAAGTATAAGGCATTTGCACAACCAATCCTGAGCCATTGGATCTGCAGGCAATCCAACGGTTAAGAAAGCCCCATAACATTCTAGAAGACAAAATACCACCAGCAAGCAAATGGTCGGTGCACATCACTCCCATATTTTCTCAATCGCGATTTCAGGGGAAAACTTCCCAAAACACTCACCGAAGCAACAATAAACACAAAACAGGCAGCACAATTAAATCGAAACAAAATCGGGTACAAATATTTTCCCGTGATTCTCGGCCAACACGAACAACAACAAACCCGAGCAAATCGGGGATAAGGGAAACAACCCCCGTCGAGGGGCTATATATACCTGCAGATCGAACAATCAAAGCAATCAAGTATCAAACACGCAAAATTAGCAAGAAACATTCGAATACCCATCGGAAAAATCAAGAAAAATCAAGGCTAGCAATGTTTTTTGCTCAGAAAAAAGAACGGTCGCCGGAAGTTGAAGAGACACATCGGAAAAGGTAAGAGCCGAGTGTTTTTTTAGATCTACGTTGTTTGGGGTTTATTTTGAAAATTTAGGGCTCGAGTTCGACTTTGGGGTGTTGAGATGAGTGATTTAGGCTAGCTTTTAGGATTCCAGCCACCGGTGGCGGTGATCCGGGTCGCGGGGCTTCGTCGGTGGGTGGTCGGCTTTTGGCCGGATGGAGAGAGAGAGTTGGGAAATAGTTTGGGTGAGTTTGGTTTTGAGAAATAGTTGAAAAATGAATGAAATTTGTATTTTTTGGCTATTTATAGGGGGACCTCTGTGTAATTACTAAATTTTTAAATTGTTTCTACAGTCTCTGAAGTTTTGATGCATAATTCATTTTGGTCATCTGTTGTAATTTTGTCTTTGAATTTTGAATTAATTCAATTTAATCCTTTGTAATATTTGTGTTTCTTTAATTCGATACCATGAACCTTCTTATTTTTTTGTTTAACATTAAATTTACATTTTTAGGCTATTTTAAAGTTTGTCAAAGGTGAGTAATTCGGATTGAATTTTTAAATTTTAATTTTAATTTTTACTTTTCACAATTAAGATATCCGGGGAATTAAATTGGTACAGAAAGAGCAGTGTAAGGGTGTTAATCCTTCCTTGACTGTAATCGACTCCCGAATCTGACTAATTTTTGGTAAGTCGTAGATCAGAAAAATGATAGGTTAAGGTGTCTGATCAACCTAATTTGAAATTATCAGTTTCAATTTAAGTCAAAACTCGATTCTGGGACCACTAGAAGGGCAGTTACGATAAATTGGCGACTCCACTGGGGACGGTAAGAGAGTCAGGCCAAAAATGATTCCCAGTTGTCTTCCTAAGCGAAAGTTGTAAGTTTGGATTATAATTCATCTTTTTGATCCTTGTTATTTACCTTTGATTGTTATTTTTCAAATAAATAGATGAACTAACGGTTTTCCAATGATTTCAGCATGTTTTAAAAAGACATCTATGATCTCAGGCTCTATACCCGAGCTCGAAACCATTTTTAAGTGGGGGCGAAAGTGACTCCTTTGTGGGAATTTATTCTCCGTATAAGCCTAGCAAGTAACCTTCGGTTATACCATATGTCTTCTTGTGAATTTATTCTCCGTACAGACATAAGAGAATGTATCCTCTCGAGTTTAACTTGGTTCACATGAGCCTGTGATGGGCTTAAGACTGGGGGTCTGACAAGCCTAAGGGGGCACCGACAATGAGAACTCGAGTACCTTTTTTAAAACCAAATCGTGATGCTGCAAGGAATTAAAGCCCACCCCAAAACTTCATTCAAAACCTAGGATGATTGATTTATTTCTTGCTTTATTTATAATGTTCAAATAATGCGAATTAGAAATATATACAGTTAGAATCCGCTCAAGAAAATAACATGTAGGATAGAAATTATGTCCGAGTAGGAACAAAAAACATGTAGGGTAAACATCATGAGGGGTATTAATTTCTATTTTCATTATTGTTTTTGTCTCACTAACTTGTTTCCTTTCATTTTTTGTTTTATTTCATTTTTATCATTTGCATCATTTAAAGATGTGTTGATCCGCAAAGTGTTCGTTAAACCTGAATAGTTTACATTATTTGACAAAGGGGTTTTAATGCAAGAGATAAAAATGCAGAAGTACGGCTGTGGTCAGAAAAGACTCAGAAGAAAAAAGGAGACAATTTGCAAGATAGCTGTGTCAGACCTAGTTGGCTATGCTTTCATCAGCCTCAAACAGAATGATATTCAGAAGTTGTGGAACATTTGAGACAATTAGAAAAATTACAGGAAACAGAGGTTTTACCAGCAATATGACGATATTGCACACCTACAAAACAGAGGTTTTACCAGCGTTAGAAGGATTCTAGAGCTTTATCTATGAGATAAGCTTATAGAGCTTTAGATATGAATATTGAGGAACAATAAACCTTTAATTGGAAACTTATTTAGAGGTTTGAGGTGTCTCAACGTGTCAAAGTTTTCCTTTGGTTGGTCCTGCAAAACAATCTTCTTACGAATATGGAGCGAGTGCGAAGACACCTCTCAGATTCTGGTTTGTGTCCAGTGTGCAATCTTAGAGATGAGGATGTGGATCATTTACTTCGAGATTGTCGGTTTGCTCGGGATATTTGGAATCACTTGATCAAAACTAAAGAATTAAGAGTGTTTATGGGTTTGCCATTTCAGGATTGGATGTGGTTGAATCTCTATGGCCATGGTATTGCCTCTATTAACAAGAACAATTGGTCGATTTTATTTATAATCGTTAGTTGGAGACTCTGGAAAAGAAGATGTGACTTTTTTGTTGCTGAAAATTTTGTTGATCATGGATGTTGTAACCGGTTTTCGTTCGGGCACTAATTTTTTATTTGG